AACTGAATGTGTTAAAAAATGGTAAAAATCAGCAGTTTAATCCCAGAGGGACAGTAAAATCAGACTATTTTTTAGTGAGATGCTAATGGTCTAATCCGATTCAATGATTTATGCTAAGCTAAGCTAAAAGTGTTTCCGCCAGACCCGAAAATCATCTGAATATATATATATATATATATATATATATATATATATATATATATATATATATATATATATATATATATATAAAGTAAAACTCCACTGTTTATCTCTAGGGGAGCTGTAAAATTAGACTACTTTCAAAAAAATGTGTTGTGTTCAGATCTAAAACAAACAAGATCCACAGCGTTGCCATGTGAATAAAGATTTATTTATGAGCATTGTTGAGGAAACAATACCGAGAGATGATCGAACAGCGTTCTAGGAAAGGTCATTGTTTTATAAAAGAGGGACAGATGTGTTTATTGGTTTCTATTGGCAGACGTCACTATGATTCTCCGATCTAAATCATCTACAATACTGGAGGATGGAAATAAGGATGTTAAAAATAAATCAAAGGTTGCCAGGACTCGCTCTCCGTTTGTTTTTCTCCTTCACATTTGATCATATCCATAAACTGCATCATTATTTGGTTAGAAACATCAACTAAGCGCATGTAGAAACATAAGCTGTAGAGATGTAAATGAATCAGTAATGTTACATTCATACATTAAAACCCGGGAGACGCTTCCAAGGAAACCTGCTGCATGGTTAAAATGATTGCACTGGATATTTCATGTCCCCCAAAACCTTCATTTGACAGCCACACGGCCCTCTGCGCTGGAGTGTGTGTGTGTGTGTGTGTGTGTGTTCGTTCTCAGGCACAATCGCTCACTTATTCTGGCTGGAGATTCTAAACTCTTCAATTACGCTGTAGATTTTGATCATGTGGACTGCTTGTACTGTGTGTGTGTGTGTGTGTGTGTGTGTGTGTAGTTTTATAGTTAAATAATTGATTAAGGTTAACGTGGAAGCTTGTTTCTGCTGTGAGATTCAATAAAAAAAGGTCATTTTGACTTTTTTAATATCACAATTCAGATTTTTGCTTGGTTTTCAGATTATATTTGCAGTTCTTTTATATTTTGTGACATGAAAATATAATTTTAAAGTCATTTTCCTGCATCAGAAACAGCGTTTGCTTCATTTATATTGCAAGTTTTCTAAGTGATTATAAGTGAAAAATATTATGTATCTTGCAATTTAACAGATTTTTTAAAATTATTATTATTACTTTTGTTGATATCTCACAATTCGGAGTTTGTTTTGGCTATTTTTGTGACTTAAAAATATAATTTCAAAGTCATTTTTCTGCATTGGAAACAGTTTTTTCATAATTTCTATTGCAAGTTTGTAAGGTTTGTGTGAAATTATGAGGGGAAAATATAATGCAACTTGCAATTTAACATTTTATTATTATTATTATTATTATTATTATTATTGTTGATTTCTCACAAATCTGAGTTTGCCTGCAGCGCTATAAAGCCTGAACTTTAGTGTAATTTTGCAGGTTTATAGGCTGTTTAGCATTGGGATCTGCTTAATATCTTGTAATTTTTGAGACTTGAAAGCTGCTGTTTTTTCACCCCTCACAAATGCAAGTTTAATTTAATATTTAGAGGAATTTTAGGGAAAAACTGCAGGATCTTAACTTGAAATGTAACTTCAAATTTAGATTTTTCTTGGTTTTTAGGTTATATTTTGGCCATTTTTGAAAAGTCATTGTCCTGCATCAGAAGCAGTTTTTCCTTCATTTTTTATTGCAAGTTTGTGAGGAAAAAGTAACTTGCAAATTAGCAGATTTTTAAGTCAATATTATTTTTGTTGATTTCTCACAATTCTGAGTTTGTCTGCAGCGCTATAACACTTCAACTTTAGTGTAATTTTGCAGGTTTATAGGCTGTTTAGCATTGTGAGCGGCTTTATATCTTGAAATGTTTGAGACTTGAAAACTGCAGATTTTTTTTCTTCGGAAATGCAAGTTTAATTTAATATTTAGAGGAATTATAAAGAAAAACTGCAGGATCTTAACTTTTTAAAAAAAATCTGAATTTGGTTATATTTAGTTTATATTTGCAGTTCTTTTATATTTTGGCCATTTTAGTGACATGAAAATATCATTTTAAAGTAGATTTCTGCATCAGAAACAGTTTTTTCCTTTCATTTCTATTGCAAGTTTGTAAGTTTTGTGAGGAATGATAAGGGGAAAGTATTATGCAACATGCAAATTAGCAGATAATTATTATAATTGTTGATTTCGAACAATTCTGAGTTTGTCTGCAGCGCTATAAAACTTCAACTTTAGTGTAATTTTGCAAGTGTATAGGCTGTTTTGCATTGTGAGCTGCTTTATATCTTGCCATTTTTGAGACTTGAAAACTGCAGATTTTTTTTCTCAGTTATGCAAGTTTAATTAAATATTTAGAGGAATTATAAAGAAAAACTGCAGGATCTTAACTTGAAATGTGACTTCAAATTCAGATTTTTGCTTTACATTTGCAGGTCTTTTATATTTTGACAATTTTTATCATTTAATCATTTATCAAAATAGCATTTTAAAGTAATTGTTCTGCATTGGAAACTGTTTTTCCTTCATTTTTATTGCAAGTTTATAATTTGTGTGGGGAATTATGAAGAAAAAAATATGATGTAACTTGCAATTTAGCAGATTATTAAAATAACTATTATTTTTTGTTGATATCTCACAATTCTGAGTTTGTCTGCAGCGATATAAAACTTCAACTTTAGTGTAATTTTGCAGGTTTATAGGCTGTTTAGCATTGTGAGCTGCTTTATATCTTGAAATGTGACTTCAAATTCAGATTTTTGCTTGGTTTTTAGTTTATATTTGCAGTTCATTTATATCTTGGCCATTTTTGAGACTTGAAAACGGCAGATTTTTTTCTCAGAAAGGCAAGTTTAATTAAATATTTAGAGAAATGTTAGGGAAGAACTGCAGGATCTTAACATGAAATGTGACTTCAAATTCACATTTTTGCTTGGTTTTTACTTTATATTTGCAGTGCTTTTATATTAAAGTAATTTTCCTGCATCAGAAACAGCTTTTTCTTTATTTTTATTGCAAGTTTGTAAGTTTTGTGAGAAATTATGAGGGAAAAATAGGATGTAACTTGCCAATTAGCAGATTGTTAAATTACTATTATATTTGTTGATTTCTCACAATTCTGAGTTTGTCTGCAGCTCTATAAGCTTTAGTGTAATTTTGCAGGTTTATAGGCTGTTTAGCATTGTGAGCTGCTTTATATCTTGAAATGTGACTTCAAATTCAGATTTTTGCTTGGTTTTTACTTCACATTTGCAGTTCTTTTATATTTTGGCAATTTTTATCATTTTATCATTTATCAAAATATCATTTTAAAGTAATTTTTCTGCATTGGAAACAGTTTTTCCTTCATTTTTATTGCAAGTTTATAATTTGTGTGGGGAATTATGAAGAAAAAAATATGATGTAACTTGCAATTTAGCAGATTATTAAAATAACTATTATTTTTTGTTGATATCTCACAATTCTGAGTTTGTCTGCAGCTCTATAAGCTTTAGTGTAATTTTGCAGGTTTATAGGCTGTTTAGCTTTGTAAGCTGCTTTATATCTTGAAATGTGACTTCAAATTCAGATTTTTGCTCAGTTTTTTGTTTATATTTGCAGTTCATTTATATCTTGGCCATTTTTGTGACATGAAAATACCATTTTAAAGTACATTTCTGATAAGAAACAGTTTTTCCTTCATTTCTATTGCAAGTTTGTAAGGAATAATATTGTGCATTTTAGCAGATTTTATTAAAATTATCAGTAATTTTGTTGATATCTCACAATTCTGAGTTTGTCTGCAGCGCTATAAAACTTCAACTGTAGTGTATTTTGCAGGTTTATAGGCTGTTTAGCATTGTGATCTGCTTTATATCTTGCAGTTTTTACCTTTTTTGTGCTGGTAACTGCTGCTTTTTCCCCTCACAAAATGCAAATTTCATGTAATATTTAGAGGAATTATAGGGAAAAAACTGCAGGATCTTCACTAGAAATGTAACCTCAAATTCAGATTTTTCTTAATTGTGAGTTTGTCCTAAACATTACATTTTTTCCTGCAGTTATATCAGTTTATTGACTGTTTTGCAAGTCTGGCATTCTCAAAAATCGTACAAAACTTTTAAATTTGAAACTTAACCTCAGAATTCTGAGATCAAAGTCAAGCAAGACAAAAAAAGTCATACCTTTTTTTAAAGTCTCCCTGTTGAAACAAGCGTCCACAGTTCAACATGTGAAGGGATTTGGCAAATAAAAGGAATTACAAGGAAGTGTGACTGCATTTACATCCTAAAACATAAAAGAAAATACGAAGTAAAAGGCACGGACAGACATAAGCAGGAGACACTATATAATGTGCATGAATGAAGCAAAAACATAATCACTTGTAAATAATAGAATAGCTATCTCTTTCTCGTAGAAATAATATTCATAAAGGTAGTTCTATTAAAACTGATGCTGTGGCAGGGAGTTTCTTGAAACCGCTAACAGTTCTTTACATACAAGTTTTGGAAAAGAGTGTTTTCTTCTGGATGCTGGATGTGTGTGTGCGTGTGTGTGTCAGTGTCTCAGCAGCTGCAGCCATCACCGGAGGACACAGGTCTGTCGTCTCGCAGTTTGATCTGGTCAGGGAAATCGTACGTCTCCACCTCAGACTCCTGCGTTAGTATCAGAGCAACCATAAGCATTTCAATTATTATAAATAGAAAGTCTTATTTTATTTCAGCTAGAATAAAAGCAGTTTTTAATGGTTTTAAAAGCCATTTTAAGGTCAATATTATCAGCCCCCTTAAGCAATTTTTGTTTTGGATTGTCTCCAGAACAAACCACTGTTATACAATGACTTGCCTAATCACCCTAACTTTACCCTAATTCACCTAGTTAAGCCTTTAAATGTCACTTTAAGCTGAATACTAGTGTCTTGAACAATATCTAGTCTAATATTATGTGCTGTCATCATGGCAAAGAAAAAAGAAATCAGTTATTAGAAATGAGTTATTAAAACTGTTATGATTAGAAATGTGTTGAACAAATCTTTCCATTATTTTTCTAAATTGGAGGGGGGGAGGTATACAGAAGGACTAATAATCCAGACTTCAACTGTATATTATTAGTATAATATTCAATCATAAGCATCTACTCATTAATTTCCCTCCAAATTAGCGTTTAAAATAACCTATTAAAACAAATATGAGGCAGGAGAGCCGTCTTTTCTAGCTGTTGCTCCGTGCTCACCTGTTTGAGGGCGTTGCGGGCGATGGTTTGGAAAGCTTGGTCCACATTGATGGCCTCTTTTGCGCTGGTTTCAAAGTACGGGATATTGCTTTTGCTCTGACACCACGCCTGGGCTCGTTTCGTCGTCACCTGCACAGACGGGATTTACAGTAAACTGATTACACTAAACGAGGCGAGATGGGAGTTTGAGCTTAGGTAGATCTGGAGAACTCCCGTGCTGTAGTAGTTAATGAACAGACGGTGATTAGAGATAACTACTGACTAGGAGCACGTCTATGGTGCTGATTTGGATTAGTCAATTAACTTAAGTTGCTTGTTTTTGGATGGTGGGAGGAAACCGGGGATGCCAGGGGAATGCCACGTGACCACAGGGAATACCTATAAACTCCGCACTGAAATGTCGGCTGGCTTGGTAAGGACTAGAACCACTGACGTTCTTGCTGTGAGGCAACAGTGCTAACCACTGGGCCACCGTGTCACCCACCTAGGAAAGGAAGGGAAGGGGGGATTCTTCAAAACAAAGATGCCTGTTAAATGAAACTCAGGGTATTTATAGACCCTTTTTCTTGGAACGCAAAATTACCCATTATGCTTTGCGTGTATATGCAAGGAGAATGCGAAGAACTTCCGGTCGGCAGCTGATGCGTGTAAACAGTCACATTTGGACAGCTTTAAAACGATAGTTTGAATCTATTTTACCTGCTTTTATCCTCTTTGAACTAATACTGTTGTCCATCAGCAGCATCTCCTGGACTGATCATTTAAAGAAATGCCATCTAATAGGATGGAAAACAGCTGCTGTGAAGCGTTTTCCCCTTGTTGTCAGACGGCATCTTCTGCAGTTTAAATGAAGCCTCGTCATCGCTAAAGTCAACATTTTCTCTTTATTTCAAATATATAACCAGCCCAAACAAATGTAATTCACCAAAATGTTTGACACACACACGTAGCCTGTACTGTGCCACTGACACACTGATTTAATAACTGTGACAAAGTGAAAATATAGGCTAGTGTCATTTCGAAATGACAGAAAAACACAAACCGTGGTGAAAACAACACACGAAATAAAACACATACGGCTCGCGATTAGAATGAACAGCGAATCAGCAGCAGAGGATCAATAACAGACTTTTATTGCTCATTTTTGTAAATTGCACGACTTTCATACCTGTTAAGTTTCATGCCAGTACTCTTTTCATGCCAGGTTTGCTCTCTCTCTCTCTCTCTGTGTGTGTGTGTGTGTTAAAGAGCCGCTGAGCTAACAGCTGACAGGCCGGGAACACACACACACACACACACACACACACACACACACACACACACACACTGTATTTCTGACGGCAGACACGTGAACTAGGAGAACGTTTTTCTCGTATTTCTGACGCGCTTGAACCACATGTGACAGATTATAACAGCTTTAACAGACACATTTACAAGTTGTGTGTCACAAAACACTCTGTTATCCATTAAAAACGTTATTGAAACCCATTTTCGGAGCGCAAATTACCAGTGTACACGCTGTAAACGGAAGTTTTTAGCATTCAACCGGAAGCCGCTGGTCGCTCTGGCGCCCTCCATGCAGCAGCCATGAAAAAGGTCTATAGTGGCTTAGGAATCGTCTGATTGGTGAATCCTAAATTGGATAATGCGGGACCAGCCGCAAGCATTATAAGCACGTGATCCTCTCCAAATTAGTGAATAAATAAACTTCACTAAAACAAAAGCATCTATTCATTCATTTCCTCCACATGAGCATTTAAAACAACTCTTAAACGAGATTCTGGCTGAGATTGTTTTGCATCAGACCTGTCTGTTCTCCAAGTCGATCTTGTTTCCGAGCACCACGAAGGGGAAGTTCTCCGGGTCTCGAGGACTGGCCTGAATCAGGAACTCGTCCCTCCAGCTGTCCAGAGTCTTGAAGGTGTTAGGCGCGGTCACATCGTACACCAGAACACAGCAGTCAGCACCACGGTAAAACGCCACCCCGAGAGACTGGAAACGCTCCTGTCCTGCCGTATCCCAGATCTCAAACACACATCAGTATAGGACACTTTACACAGACTGAACCTTGTTTTAATTCTTTAATTACTATGGTAACACAACCTCTACAATAATATAAAAAAAATAAAGTATATACTAAAGTATTTTTTGATATTCCCTCTAGGAATGCTACAGTATTTTTATCATATATGCATATATAGCATTTCATTCATAGTAATTGCTAGGTGTTTATAAGCCACTAGTAAAGTGCTTGAATTTATCTGCCATGGTGATTCTATAGTTGCTATGGTAACACAACATCTATAGTAATATAAACAAATTACTGTACTAAATTTCCTTCAACTATTATACTAAACACATAAGAG